AGAGACATCATGCTTGAAAGATAGAGGGTCAGTAAAAGAGAGGAAGCCTTCAAACAAGACGGACTGATAAAGTGATTGCAACAATGTACACAAATGTGTCAGAGATGATCTGATAAGGCTCATGTATGTTGTTCATAGGGTCTCTATGAGTTGTACTCAACTCAGTGGCACCTAACAACAGCAACACTCATCTATCAGTTTTCTGTACTAAAGTGTCTTGCAGTTTGCTGTGATACTGGAAGCTATGCCAAAATATTCTTCTAAAAATTTGACATTTTAAAGTTATTTTAAATATCAGCAAGATCACCCAGGATGGACAGGCACCAGTGGATCTTTCAGATTAAGATAGATTAGGAAGCAGGATATGTGTCTCTAGGCCTGGTGGCCCTTTCCCCTGTTGTATACCTGGGTGATGTGGGTAGACCTTGGATGTACTCACTAGGTTGTGCCAGGAAATCTGGCCAACTTGCTGGAAGAAATCTTTGGTTATTCCCATTTCCAAAAAGATGACCTTACAGAATGTGGAAATTATTGAAGAATATCACTAGTATCATATGCAAGTAAATTCTAGCTTAAGACTATAAAAAAGTACTAGAACACTACTTTAACAGAGAACTGTCAGAAACATAAGCTGGATTTAGACTAGGCCTTGGTACTAGAGATTTCATGGCAGATGTCAGATGGACAGTGGCTGGAAGTAAGACATACCAGAAGGATGTTTATATGTTTTATCAACTATGCAAAGACAGTTGACTTTGTGGATCACAACAAATTTTAGCTAACATTGAGAAGAATGGGAATCACAGAACATCTGATTGTGCTCATGTGAAACCTTTATCTAGGCCAGGAAGCTGTTGTCTGAACACAACATAGGAACATTACAAGGTTTAAAATCAAGAAAAGAGTACATCAGGGATGTATCTTTTCTCCATAACTTTTCAATCTATTTGTGGAACAAACAGATCATACAGGAGGCTGGACTTTATGAAGAGGAATCATCAGGATTGGAGAAAGATTCATCTACAAGCTATATAATTCAAATGATAGAATCTTGTCAAAATTGAGGTTTGAAGTGTTTGCTGTAGAAGGTAGAAAAATGCAGCCTTCAATATGGATTCCATCTCAATATCAAGAAAGCGAACCCCTCACCACTTGGCCAATAGGCAGTACCATGATAGAGAAATATTGAGTTTATTAGTTATTTCATCTTACTTGAATCTACAGTCAACATTCTTGACATAAACAGTCAGGAAAGCAAAAGATGAATTGAACCCATAGGGTTGCACAGTTTAGTGAGTTGGGGGAAGAAGGAAGAGGAAAGTATCTGGGTGAAAAGACAGGGTAATGAAGGACAAGATCCAATGGTGATTAATTTTATAAAACTTAATGTATGAGAATGATTATATGGAACATAATGTGAATGAAGAATAGGGTGAAACACAATGTATATGAACTTTGTGAGCAAAACAAGGGGGAAAATGTAAGAGAAAAAAAGAAAGACACGTTGAACTAGGAAAATCTACTGTCAAGGATCTCTTCAGAGTACTAAAGAACAAAAGTGTCAGTTTAGAAAGTAAGGTGTGCCTGATTCAGGTAATGGTCTTCTTAACTGCTTACTATTCATCTGAGAAATGGAAAGTGAATAATTATGACAGAAGAAGAATCAATGCCTTTGAGTTTTGGTGCTGGAGAAGAGTGTTGAAAGATTTTAAAGCTCCATCTCACACACTTTGGGCATGTCACCAGGAGGTGCCTGTCTTTGGAGAAGGATATCATGCTCAGAACGGCAGATTGTCAGTACAGAAGAAGAAAATCCTGTACTGTATGAGATGGATTTATACAGTGACTGTAGCAATGCATCAGGTTTGTCAAAGACAGTGAGATTGGCTTAAGAGAGGGCAAGGCGATGAGCCATGGTTCAGAAGGTGGCTATAGGTCATAATTGATTTTATGGCCCATAACAACAACAGCAGCAGGATGCAGGACTGACTAAAAAATCTTAGGGGGAAAAAAAGCAAAACAAAAAACACAACACCCACACAAAACCAAAACCTCTGTGAATAATATTGTTGTGTATCATCAAGTCACAAATGACCCACAGCAGACCCTCCAGTAGGCTTTCGGAGGCAGGCATGGGAGGACAGTGTCCATCTTTCTTCCATGGTGCATCTAGTTCATTCGAATTGCATACTTTTGCATTGGCAGAGCTATTTCTTACCACTAAGCTCCAGAACTCCCTAAGGGGACATTATTAGATGAAGTACTGGAAGCAGAGGCCCTCAGATTAGAATACACTAAAAAAAATTAGGACTACCATTTGAAAATATCCATTAATAATAGGAATGTGGAATGTAAAATGTATCACTCTGGGAAATTGGAGTTTCTCAAAAATGGAATTAAGTGCATGAGGAGTGATATCCTGGGCAGTAGTGAGCTGAGATGTACTGATATTGGCTAATTTGATTCAGATAATCATATGATTTATTAGGCCAGGAATGACAAATTATGGGAGAATAGTATCACACTCATAGTAGGGGAAAAATCGGGGAGAGAGGGAGAACATTTCAAGACCTATCCTGAAGTAAAATGTTTTGAGTAATAGGATACATTTTATAAACACCAAGGACGATCTATTAATATGACTATGTAGATCAAGAAGTTGTTTTCTGAACAGAACACTGCATGGTTTAAAAATTAGAAAATGGATGTGATGAAGTTGTATCCTTTCTACTATATACCTATTCAATATGCATGCTAATCAAGTCATTCAAGCCTGGACACTCTAAATAACGTATCATCAGGTTTGGAGGAAGACTCTTGACATCCTGTGTTAAGCAGATGACACAATCTTGCTCATAAAAACTAAAAAAGGACTTGCAACACTTGCTGCAAAAGACCAAGAACTACAGCTTCCAATACATCTTAACATCAAGAAAACAAGAACCTTCATGACTGGACCAATACACAACATCATTATATATATAGAAAAGGTTGAAGTTGTTAATGATTCTATTTTACTTGATCTACTATCAATACTCACAGCAACAGCAGTCAAGAAATCAAAAGTGGTTTGCAATGGGGTCATCTGGTGTCAAGGACCCATCTAAAGTGCTAAAAGACAACGATGTCTGTTCAAATAATAAGGTATGCCACATCCAAGCCAGGGTTGGTTTTTGTTGTTGTTGTTGTTGTTGTTTTGTGGGGTTTCCCCACCCCACCCCAATTACTTCTCATGAATCTGAAAATTAGGTAATGACTAAGGATGGCAGAAGAACTGATGCCTTTAAGTTCTGGTATTGGAGAAGAGTTTTGAATATCTCATGTGTCAAAAATCAAATACTTTTGTCTTAGAGGAAGTGCAAGTGAGGTGCTTCTTAGATACAAGGATGGTGAAGCTTCGTCTCACATACTTAAGATATGTTTTTAGAAGGGGCCAGTCCTTGGAAAAAGACATCATTCCAGAGAGAGATAGGAAGACTTCCAACAGGATGCATTAGTACACCCTGGATGGACCAACTATATCAAAGAGCTTAGCACAGGACTAGGCAAAATTCATATCTATTATTCATGGGGTTGCTAAGATTTATAATTGGCATTATGACAACTGACTACAACTTTAATATAAGAATATCTGTGGTGTAGCGAGTTGTGTATTGGGCTATTACTAACCAAAATGTTTGTGGTTCTTATTTACCAACTAATCCTCCGAAGAAATATGTACAGTCTCCTCTGGTAAGGATTTACAGCCTTGAAAATTAGGTGGAGGGTCACTCTGATTTGGAACGAACCAAATAATATTGGTTTGTGGAGAATTTCAACCTACTACCTCATATAATCTGTACTATTCTCCATATTCTTTGTCGATGTAATTAGGCAAAACAAACCAATTTAAAGAGAGGTGTATTTGGAAATCAGTAGAATGAAGTAGTCTTAAATATGGTTAATATTGATGTACAGGGCTTTTTTGTTGTTGGCTGCCTGATTATTATTCACTGTCATATTTATATTGACTCCTTCATTTTGTATCTTTTAATCCAGTGAAAAAATGCTATATTTTTCAGCATTGTTATAATGGGTTGGTAATTACAAAATTTAAAAATATCATCATTATAATTTCTCAATGTCAAAGTCTTTATTTTCTTATAAAAGAAATATAATATTTAAACTAAATGTCATTCTAAATCTAGTCATTCTACTTAAAATTTCTGAATAATTTCCATCATAGAAAAGATTATAGAATATACCATTACAGCAGCTGTCAATCCAAAACAGGAACCAAATTTATTCCTTGAATACCTCTAGCAGGGAATTTCTCACCTTGTTGTTTGTTGTTGTTATGTGCCATCGAGTGGCTTGCTACTCATAGCAACCCTATGTACAACAGCCCTAAACTCTGCTCTGTCCTGTGCCAATCACACTGTCTCTGACACTCCCATCCCGATTATCCCAGTCACTGAATCAATCTACCTCATAGAGGGCCTTCCCATCCTGTGCCATCCCTCCACCCTCCCATGTATAATGTCCTTCGCCAAGGACT